CTTTAGCCATAACCCCTGTAAACCACTTAAAATCCACAACATTTATATACATATTGTGATCTTTAGGTGGTTTTTAAAGTAGAACTAAAAGCAATACTATTTTGGATAGAGTAAGGGAGGATTGTAACTCCTATCATGTCATCCTATCTTTGCCATCTATGTCTCATTGGGGAGATTTCCCTTCACTTCCTTTCCTGATAACTAAAACCAAAAATTGAGAGGAAATTTCTTTAAAGTGAGGGGAACAAAAAAGGTGTAGTGGTCAGTAGTAAGTACAGAAGATGGTAGCAATGGAGCTATCAGAAGGAGAGTACTAATTATAATAATAGTACTGAGAAGCACAGAAGATTGAAGCAGTGTAACTATTGGAAGTATAGCTACTCACCACCAGTACAATGGCTGGGAGTAATGAATATATGTGACAGAAGTATAATCGGGATCACAATTATAGTCTGAAGTGCAGAGAGGTTTCTCACCTACCCTATATACTTGTTTTTATCTCAAAGTCAAGAACTGCAAGATCCGTACTACAGCTCTCTGTAATATAAATGCATCAAATCCACTAATGGTCTTATGACAGGATCATGTGCTTAGTTAAATAAATTGTGTCTTTCCTGTGCATAACAGTCACCACCTCTGATCACACAGTAAGTGCTACAATGATCAGAACTCTTTCATCAGGGCTTAAATACACATACAAACTCTGCAGGAGAGCAAAACACGGTATTACAACATATTGTAGCTGACAAGCCTTCCTTTTTCACCACAGTCCCTGCTTCCATGTGTCTCCAGCCACGATTTGGATTTTGCACTCTGCTTCCAATTTCGTCAAGCCTCCTTCTTCTGTTGTCATTCCCCACCCTGTATGCTCTGCTTGGTCATCATACTCTACCCATTTAATAGGAGAAGCTTGTGCTTCCTGGCACTGGTGACACCTCTGATATTGGGGACTCCACTTCTAACTGAAGCCACTTTCTAACCAGGGTCAACCTCCTTAAAATGGGACTGTCCCCAGAAACTGGGAACATAAGGTCACTCTAATGAGCTGATACCACACACTACTGAAATGTGTTTTGTACGCTTACACAGCCCAAATTAACCAGCTCAATAATGGTAATAACTTAAAGCTGAACTCCAGGCAAACAGCTAACTACACATGTGAAATAGACATACAGTGTTCAGCATAAATGAGTACGCCCCCAACAGATTTGTCATAAAACATTTCCTTTCCTTTCCGAATCAACATTTTCTATGGGACCCTATACTACAAAATACTCAACAAATGCGGGCCATTGATTGCAAACTAGATTTGTTAATTTGCGCTCACAAAAAAGTATTTTTCCTAACAAGTTCTTTCAAGACCATGTTGCAAAAATGAATATATCCCAATGAAAGTCTTAGAAGCAAAGCTAAATTTTAGACAACAAAATGCTAATTAACAAGAATTCAACTACAGGTAAGTCTAATTATTCATTAAACAAGTGTCCAGCAGACAGTTGATTATAAAAGGGCATTACTTAACAAAGAAAACCTCTTCCCATTTCATGCTGTCAGCAATGGCACCACATGGAAGAGAAATGTCACAAGGCCTCAGAAAGAAAATATTTTCTTTACACTAGAAAGGTCAAGGCTACAAGAAGATCAGCATAGCTTTAGTTTTCAGTCAGAATAATGTAGCAAAAGTGATACAAAAATGTAACAAAGATGGAACTGCAACTATCTCACAGAGACGTCCAGGCCATCCATGGAGGTTAATTCCTCAACAGGAGCATCTTCTGATGAGAAGGGTTGAAGAAAATCACCATGCAAGTTCACTGCAGTTAGCTAAAGAAGTAGAAAGTCAAACTGAGGTTATTGTTTCCCGTGACAAAATACAGTGTACACTGCAGAGGAATGGCATGCATGGGTGTCTTTTCATGAAGGAAGCCTCTCCTGAAGCCCATGCACAAAAAAGCTAGTCTAGAATATGCCAGGGCCCATGCTGAAAAAGAAGAAGACTACTGGGACTCTGTAATCTGGAGTGATGAGACCAAGATAAATGTTTTTGGAACTGATGGCTTCAAAACTGTGTGGTGTCTCAAAGGTGAGGAGTACAAAGAAAAATGCATGGTGCCTAAAGTGAAACATGGTGGTGGCAATGTCCTTCTGTGGGGCTGCATGAGTGTTGCTGGTGTTGGGGAGCTGCATTTCATTGATGGTATCATGAATTTACAGATGTAATGCTCTATATTGAAAGAGAACATGCTACCATCACTCTGTGCCCTTGGTTGTTGTGCACTTTTCCAACATGACAATGATCCAAAACACACATCTAAGGCCACTGTTGCATTTATGAAGAAGAACAGGGTGAAAGTAATTCAGTGGCCAAGTATGTCTCCTGATCTGAACCCAATCAAACACCTATGGGGAATTTGAAAGAGACAAATTGAGCATCACTCTCTAATCATGGCGGTCATACAAAATACTAGATGGAGTAGTTTTGTTGTGGGTGTATTCATTTTTGCATCAACTAATTTGAGTAAAACTGAAGATTTTTTGTAATCTAAGTTATACTATTAACCTTACTTTCATGTAATGAGCTAAACAAATGTTCTTTAAAACTCAATTTTGTCAAAATTCTGGAAATTGTTCTTGTGTTCATTGAGATTTTGATTAAAATTTTTTTTTTTAAAAGGGGTGTACTCATTTACGCTGAGTACTGTATGTAAATTATGTTATCTGGAAAGGATTTACAATTTTGTTCTGCCAGTTTTGGGATTATTGCACCTCTGCCAGGCAGTACAGTAAGAAAGGTGACATCACTTTCTCTTTAGCAAAGGTATATAGTGATGCCACCTCTCTACTTGCAAACTGCTTCCTGGACAATATTGTATCAGGAACACATGGATGAGACATCAATTTAATTTACTCAGGTTACTCCTCCTGTTAGCATGTTCCTAATGAATGCATGTACATGCAGCAGAGCCTGATTAGTTATTTATGTTGGCCCTCTCCCTGTCTGGGGATGCCAGATAGCTGATATGAAGACAGATTCAGGTATGTATAATAGAAGCATGTAAAAAATATATATTTTTTTGAGGAATACACAACTGTATAAAATGACATTTGTAGTGTCTGCTTTGAGATCAGCTTTAATTAATAATTTACCACTTAATAGCCCTCAAATCCTGTTGACTGTGACTGCTCTTCATTTACTATCCTATATGTATACAGCTGCTACACTTTCTTTCATGGTGGAAATAATTTCTTAAGCGTCTATATTATTGTCAATATACTGTATTGTATTTAGCTAATGTTATTGTTTTCTGGCTGTGCCTAGACTAAAAATAATCACTTTGTATTGTGCTGATAAACTTTCCAACTAATGACAGCACGTCCACTTGTAAACAGCAAATCAGCAAATGTGTAATCTGCACTGCAGTCTATCATCATTCATAGAACATTCCTGTGAAATTCAGCTGTAAGCCTAACAAATGATTCCTTTGCATGCTAGGCATAGAACAGGGACATATGTTCAAGAGAATAGAATATGCAGGAGTTTGAGATAATTAGGGTCTTATAAATTCATCCTGTTGTGTACATAAGACATAAAGGTGTATCAGCTGTGATAACTAGAGAAACCAAAAATTCTGTTATAGAATTCAGCAAGAAATAATGAGTAATTCTAAATCAAATAATAATATTAATATTAGTGCCTATTCTTATGAAAAAAGCAACATAAACAAAAAGAACAAGACTGGAAATGGTAAAATATCCTTAAATGGCAGGTTTTGAATTAAATAAGACAGAAAGGTATGAAGGGATGTGATGCTATTTTAGATGTCATTGTTATGCAACGTAAACCTTTCAAGTCTGACAGCTGTCTATGTGAACAGTTGAGATGCACCATATTTATATGACTGCTCACAGAGGCATTTTATGTTGCCACATTTAGTTGTTAGTTATCATTTTTAAGTAAACCAGTAAAAATCAAATTTGTAATTTCAAAAAAGATATAAAAATATTATTTTTAATAGTCTCATAAACCTTTCATGTTGGTGAGATCTGAACAATTGTAAGAGGAGCAGGTGCTGTGTTTACTAGTTGCAGTTAAAGTGACTCTGTCAGAAAGATCAATCTTCAAAATAAAGGGCTCTCAGCAAACAGGACAGGGAGTACTCACCTCTCCACACTGGCATGAAAGTATCCAGTGAAGATCTTATGGAATCCAACATTTCCAGGAGTGTCTATTTTCTGGTTTCCTACTATGCACTGTATATTTTAGCTTGAAACCGCTGCTTGCCTTAGCTGACCTAGTATGGATGTGTACATGTGAAAGCCTCAGTCAAAACCGCTCCTCGGCCATGCCCTTTGACATGTTTACCCCACCCACTGGGCTTAATCATTGCCCCAGTGACTAAGCTCTGGTAGGTGGGATGAAACATGTCAGGGGCATGGCCCGAGGAGCGGTTTTGATTGAGGCTTTCACATGTACACATCCATTACATACTAGGATTGGCTAAGGAATTCGGTGGTTTCAAGTTAAAATGTTCATTGCTCACTACATAAGCTTTTCTTATGCTGGCATCTCAACTATCCTGAGTGCCAATGGGGCTCTACACCTCAGCCTGAAGCTGCACCATCAAGTACTTATGGCCTAATGCTTTGCACTGTGGTTCCTGTTGCTGGTCTTTGCATCATGACCAGATACAGTAGTGATGTAAGAATGCAAAACCTCCCAAAAAGTGCCTCAAGGTCCCCAAAAGTATGTAAACTGGGAGTCCCTAGTCACCAACCTAATGAGAACCTACATAAAATTTTGGCTAGTTGTGGACTCAACCAAAATATTGAGTTTGTTTAACCACCTCTCGTCCGCCATATAGTAATATGACAGACGCAAGGTAGTTCTCTCGTTCTGGGAGGACGTCATATGGCGTCCTCCCATTCTAACCGTGCATGACAGGAGAGGAGAGCCGGTAATCGGCATTCCTCAGAGGGGACATGTACACAGATCATCAGAGCACTGATGATCAGTGTGCCCTGATGATCTGTGTAGCCCCAGCAGCGCCACTTGACAGTGTCCATCAGTGCCAGCTCTCAGTGCTCATCCATGCCACCTGCCAGTGCCCATCAGTGCCACATCAGTGCCACATTTCAGTGCCCGTCAGTGCCACATCAATGCCACATATCAGTGCCCATCTGAGCTGCCTTTCAGTGTCACCCATCAGTGCCAGTCAGTGCCACCTAAAAGTGCCAGTCAGTGCCACCTATCAGTGCCTTTCAGTGCCACCTATCAGTGCCGCCTATCAGTGCCCTATATCAGTGCTGCCTTTCAGTGCCCATCAATGATGCCTGTCAATGCCCATCAGTGCCACCTACCAGTGTCTCCTCATCAGTACCCATCAGTGCCACCTATCAGTGTCCATCAGTGCAGCCTATTAGTGCCCGTCAGTGCAGCCTCATTAGCGGACATCAGTGAAGGAGAAAAATCACTTATTTACAAACTTTTATAACAAAAACTAAAAAAAAAAAAACCCGTTTTTTTTTCAAACTTTTCAGTGGTTTTTGGTTTGTTTAAGAAAAAAATAAAAAACCCAGAGGTGATTAAATACCACCAAAATACAGCTCTATCTGTCACAAAAAAAATGATAAAAATTTCATATGGGTACAGTGTTGCATGACCGCGCAATTGTCATTCAAAGTGGAACAGTGCTGAAAGCTGGAAATTGGCCTGGGCAGGAAAGGGGTATAAGTACCCTGTAGGCTAGTGGTTAAATATATTTATATTGACAACAATAATTCAAAAAAGAACTGGTGGTCAATGGCGTACAATCATTTCTTTATTTAACATAGACATTTCTAAAAACAGAAAAAATCATACCACACGCCACAGGTTCCTGGTAACAGCCCCTCAAAGGGGAAACACCCATCAAAAAGCAGATCAATTACCATAATAATAATAATAATATGTCTCTCCATAAAGAATGCATATGCTCCATATACAAAATAAAGTAACAAAGCTTGGTCATTCACAGATCTTCTTGAGGGGAAATATGCTCTGTGTCATATATTAATTGTCTCTGCCAGTTGTAAGATCTCCATGGATGGAAAATATGAATGAAGTCCCATAGATAAATAAGGTTGTGTAATCCAGGGGAGGGTACTGAAAATCATGTAAACTTCCCTCTTACACTTGATTGACAATCAGATATATCATGTTGAAGATGACAATACGCAGTTCCAGACACTGCATTAACAAACACATGTAGTCCAGAGGAGGATATTGGTAATGGTGATTGCAGCTGTATAGTGGTATCACCTCCCACTGGTGCCTAATTCCAGGGCACCATCCAAGAGAGGACATGAACCAAAGGTACCTGCCTTATACATAGGTAGATAATGTGCTTGTCTGGGAACCATTCAGAGGAAACTCCTGATGTAATTTGGTGATTTTTTGAAGGCAAAACTTCTCCAAGTTTGGTAAAGTGTGGGTATAGAGATGGTATTTGATGCAAAGTTGAATAGCAGTGAGGCAAACCCTTTATATGCAAGATGCTCATTAATGTAATTATCTCTTCCGAGTGGTGATCTTAAACAGAGTCAAGCAGAAGCAATATGAACAGTCCCTTAAAATATAAATCAGCAGACTAGTAGAAGGATTCCTTTTTCAAAGGTAACAATATTGAAGCATCAAAACAGCTTTAAGGGCAAACCCATCTAGTGCAAAGTAGATTACAGTAAGGCAGTCCCTTTAAATGCATAATGACAATAAGGCAGTCCCATTTAATGCATATTATCCATCAGTAGAGAGGTCTCTTCCAAAAATTTCTTGAGAGGCAGAATAAAGTAATGACAAGAAGGCAGTCCCTTAAGATGCATGTCAAAGGACCAGCAGAAAAGTTCCTTATCCAAAAGTAATGAAGTTGGAGCATCGGAAAAGCAATTGAAGTAAAGTTGTAATACTTATCATGCTGTGAAGATCTGTTGTGGGCTTCCTGGGGGACCTGGGAGTGAGGTAACAGCCCATTCCTGACCGGTACAACTGACTGCCTCAGAGGTAGGCTCAAAATTGTTTTACTTTTTGAATTATTGTTTTCAGTATAAATATAAATATATTTAAACAAATCCAATATTCCGGTTGAGTCCACAATTAGCCAAAATTTAGTGATGTAGAAATCATTGGAGTGCAGTGGGATACCAGGAACCCAATACACCTAGAAGTGTGAGATTCTGCAGGATCTTCAGCTGGCACTTTCTTTCCAGTCCTGCTGAGATTGGTTTTATGGGCAGCAAGAGGAGTGAACACTCCAAGTCTACATTGTAGAGAGCCCTTAATTTTGAAGATTAATTTAATTAACAGACTTAATTTAAAGTCTTCTAAAGTTTTTCAAGGATACCCCTGGATTAGTAAAAAAACAAACAAACACGTAGCTCAGGCTGCAGTACACTTTGCCACCCAGGCCCTATATCCCTCAATAATTCAATTTTGTCACTAGATATTCTCAGGCCATGACACACTGGGGTTGATTTATTAAAACCGGAGAGTGCAAAATCTGATGCAGCTGTGCATGGCATTATTATTATTATGCATACATTTTTAATAAAATATATTTTCCACTTGCATAGTGGATGTATTCTGTAGAAGTCAGCATTTACAATACGTTGCATCTATAGGAACTTTTTTTTTTGGTATATCCCTTGTAGAGTAATCTACAAATCTACTTTTATTACTGAATTTTAAGCTTTATTTTACCTTGCTTTGTAATCCTTTTTTAAACATTGTGCATTTTTTTTGGTATGTATGTAAATAGTTTTCTCAGTGAGTATATTTTAAGTAAAAAAAGAACCCATTTATGTAATTATTTCATTAACTTTAGAAACACTGTTTTTTTCAGTAGAAGAACTAAAAAAAAAAATCTCTGTGAGGATAAGCTTGTTGCCTTGGTAAAATGGAGGGATGGTGGGAGGATCAGGAGTGTAGAGCAATAATATACAAGCTCATTGCTTGTTCTAGTATTAGTTGGTTCATTTGGCAGAGTATAGCTCTGTTTATAACCCAATCTAGAGGGACTTGTGAGTTAATAGTTGATAGTTCCTCATTTTCCTACTCTCAGGGCAACAGCTGGAGACTTGAAGTAAAATCTAATGACAGTTCACGTAATTTTTTAATTCTTGCCCAGCCTAATGTTCTGAATCCTGGATACATAGCAGTCTCTGCACTCAACCATTAAATATAAAGAGAAGGAAGTTATATTAAACACCTTTCTACAGTTTATACAGTATATATGTGTAGTGCAGTTGACAAAAATTGCTATATTTAACAAAATTGGAAATATAAAAAACAAAATCATCTATGGCATCATAGTAGATTGGTCAGATATACACTTGTATTGCATCCCTGGGAACCTACGTGGAATGATCTGTATGGAATTGGTTCATACACCCTGCAGGTGCTTTGATCTTTTTTATATTGCTCTACATGATATTTTTGTAACTAATAAATATAATAAATGATGTCATTGAGAGTTTTGTATAGAATTTAAAGCCCATCTAATCTGGATTTTTACATAAAATAAATTCAACTAAACCCCATAATTAGTACCTCTTCCACTGCTGGGGACAGGTTATTGCTTGCTAGTATCTACTGTTTTACTTACTGGTCAGGAGCAGAGGTAGGAAGACTGCCATTTTTAGTAAGTATCCATGGCCTTTAGTCTAGTTTTTTCACTTCCAATAAACTTTTTTTTAAGTATAGTAAGTAACATGTAATCCTGACAACTGTGTACTACAGACAGCAAAAGAGAATTGAATTGAGACTAAGTGCAGTTCCTCTTGTTTTCTAAATTTAGAGAATTTGTACCACCTGTGGAGAGGAGGACTTTGGTATGAAGAAGCCAACTCCAGGCTACATTGCTTCATAACTAAAGCCAGCCATACATAGATCAAAATTCGTCTGGTTCAGTATGGACGGTCCAAATTTCAATTGATGTATAAGCAGACTGGTTGTACATCTATTGATCAGCTTGTGTGCAACCAGCCTGTCAGTATTTTTACAAATGATCAGTGCCGCCAGCTATAACTAGCAACACCGATCATTGTATTCTGACAGTGGGGAAGTCTCCCTGCTGTCAGAATATAATACCACAGTGGGAAGGATTCCCTCATCTACAATAAGTGTGTGGATGGGGAATTGGATATTTTTTTTTTTATTTAATCCACTGGTTGGAAAAAACAAAACAATGTATTGGCTACCTATGCCTTGTAAGTCCTAGGTTTGTCTGGTAGGTACTGATGTACGTGGTCAACAAAGTAAATACCACAAAAGAACAATGAAAAGAGGGTAAGACTTAGAAGTAGGTGTAGAAAGAGAAGAACTGGAATGGGGAGTGGGAAATTTCAAGATCCTCTGATTGTTACTTTCCAAACTGGTATGCTATAAAGAAGTCAGGCTTTCAGAGGAGAGTGGTGCATGGCCATATTTGTCGATGAGTATGAATTTTGGTGGGTAGGCGATTGAGTTGGGAATGAATGACAGTAATTTTTTTAGAAGTGAGAAGTGCATGGTAGAAGATGTGTTCAGCAAATGATAGTTGGGTAGTTACATTTTTGTCATTGGTAAAGAAACCCAACGTTTAGTTTCCATGTATTGAAAGGTTTTCAAGTGGGACCTTGATATTTATTTCTGATTTCTGCCCAACTGTAGATAGAATTAAAATTAACAAAGGAATATAAGTAATGGATTTTATTCGATATCCACCAGTTAAATTCTCAAAGGTATTCCATACCAAGTGGAAATAGCACATTTCATAGAAATGTAAGTAAAGGTAGATGCGGGGAGAAAGGTTTGCTAGAATATTTGATAGAATTCCAGATGGCTATTATTATTATTATAAGGATTTATATAGCACCAACAGTTTGTGCAGCATTTTACAATATAAAGAGAGACAGAACAGTTAAAAAATAAAAAAAACAAAGGATAAGAGGGCCCTGCTTAAAAAAGCTTACAATCTAATAGGGTTGGGGCAAGTGGTACATAAGGTTATAACTGTGGGAGATGAGCTGATGGAAGTGATAAATGTTTAATTGGAGGCGTGATAGGCTTCCCGGAAGAGATGAGTTTTCAGGGATCACCTAAAGGCAGCCAGAGTAGGGGATAGCCGGACAGATTGAGATAGAGCGTTCCAGAGGATGGGAGAGGCTTTGGGGAAGTCCAGGAGATGAGCATGGAGGAGAAGACAAGGAAGCTTGAGAGCTGAAGGTCATGAGAAGGAGCAGAGAGGACAGTTTAGGTGATATTTGGAGACCAGATTGGTGATGTAGCTTGGGGCAGAGTTGTGAATAGTTTTATATGTTGCTGTTAATATTTTGAATTTAATTCGCTGGGCAATCAGATGCTAGTGGAGGGATTGGCAGAGAGGGGTGGCAGCTGTGCATGGTAGCCAATTAGTTTCTATTTTTTTTTTTTGTCAAAGCTTTATTGATCAGCTGAAGTTAGAAGCTAATTGGCTACCTT